CCAAACCATGGTACTCTCCCAGCAATATCAGATATTAAAGCAGAATGACGTAAAGGTTTTAAACACATGGATTTATGATTAAATCCATATAAAAAAGAAAAAGGGGGAAATGAAAGACCCTACAGACCCCCCCCAAAACCTGCAGCTAGCCGGCTCTCATGAGAACATCCTGTTTGTTTGAGACCCTCAGGACCCTCTCAGGACCTGTAGCTAGCCACTCTCATGAGAACATCCCGTGTTTGCCTAGGGAAATAGGATACATGTGCCAAACTTAAAATATCAGCAGTTTACAAAAGAAACAATCCCCCCTATGAAGGACCCCAGCTTAACTGCTGTAACATCATTTTACAAGGCTCTTGACAAACAAATGTAAGTGCAGAGTGAGGTCAGGGCCTCTGGCTGCAAAGCAGGATATTTATGACAGGATGTCTGTCACCATACCATTTATGCCCCCTGCCCCATTCTAATCAGACCAATAACCATGCATCTGCTTCTGTAATTTGCTTTTTGGCCGCCCTCTTTCCTATAAAAAGACCTTCCCCCAGTCTGCAGGCGCGCAAGTCCTCTGAAAGACTTTGTCGCCCGCAGGTACCTGTGTTTACCCAATAAACCTCTTGCTATTTGCATCCCTGTGGTCTCGGCCTGTTTCTTGGCTTGGAGGAGTCTCCTCTCGAGGGAAATCCTCTCAGAGGGTCTTTCAGTTCAACTTTAATTTCAATAAAAAAGTTTCCATGATTGCTTTTGGTTTTTATTTTGTGTGTTCATTATGAAAATTTTAGCTTCAGTGAAGTATTTTATTGGAATTTCATAAGGAACTGATTCATGAAGGTCCAACATGCCACACATTAAAAAAAAAACACAAAATGATTCATAATACACTGGAAAGCCCAGTCTGATTTACTCCATTCTCTTTAGAAACTTGATAAAACACTAATAATCAATTTTTGTTTACTACCTGTGTCTATAATGATTATTCGCCAAGAGGATGAAAACTCCCATTTATGTTCTAAAATATTTAAGTTGTTTTCAATTCTGATCGGGTGCTTCCCAAAGAGGTTCAGCGAATCTTATCCCAGCTGTGAGAAGTAAATGAATTAAAGTATGTTAACTGCATTGAACAGTGCCCAGTGCCTGGCATGCACCTATTTACTGAGGCTCTGCTAGAGATGATGTCCTATGTTAAGTGCTCTGCATGCAAATTCCTCATCTCAGTATGTATTAATTTTCAACAGATACTTTCATGTAATACATTTCCACAATACAGTAGCCTTTAATATCCCTATTTTAAGATTAAAACCATGAGGTTTAGACAAATTAAATGAGTTTTTCAAAGTCACACAATGCCATAGTAATGGCAGAGCTATGGTTTCCCAGAACTAAGCTCACAGTGTTAAGAAGAGTCTAGTGCCTAAAGCAGGCAGGGAGAAAATAAAGCTGAATGATATGTTTGGATCATACAAAAGATTCTTATATACAATTTTAAGGGTGTTGATTAGTCTAAAAACAATAGCAGGAAAGGACAGGTTTAGGTGGAGATGGTGATATGTTAATCTTTATACCTTAAAAAAAATTGCTGGGTATGGTACCACACTTCTGTAATTTCGGCACTTGCACTTGAGGGGCAGAGGCAGGAAGGTAATGAATTGAGGCCAACCTTGGCTACATAGTGAGTCTAAGTCCAGCTTTTTTTTTTTTTTTAACACAAGATTCCACTTCAAAATAAAATCATTTTGGGTACATTATTGGAAAATCACTTGGAGATAGTAATAATAGATACTGGAAACCCCATTAGAACAATATAGCAGTGATCAGCACTAAAGACAAAAAAGAACACAGATTTCAGAAATATTTAGGAGCTGGGATTTACAGGATTTGGTGATTGCCTGGATTGGGGGGTAAGAGTAACTCCCTGGTGTGAACTCTCTGGTGATGAGCAAGATGTGCGTGCTGCCTGAAGGTTTTCTTACACTCCTTACACTCATAGGGTCTCTCTCCTGTGTGGATTCTCTGATGCTGGGTAAGGGATCCACAGTAACTGAAGGCCTTCCCACAAACATTACATTCATAAGGCTTCTCTCCAGTATGCACTCTCTGGTGCTGAGTAAGGGACGAGTCATTGCTAAAAGACTTCCCACACTTAATACATTCATAAGGTTTCTCCCCTGTGTGAACTCTCTGATGTTGAGCAAGATAGGTGATCTGGCTGAAGGCCTTCCTACATTCCTGGCATTTATAAGGTTTGTCACCTGTATGGATTCTCTGATGCTGAGCAAGGTGGGAATTTTGGCTGAAGGCTTTCCCACATTCCTGGCATTTGTAGGGTCTCTCCCCCGTGTGTGTTCTCTGGTGCACAGTAAGGTATGCGCGAAGGCTGAAGGCTTTCCTACAGACCCTGCACTCAAAAGGTTTCTCTCCGGTGTGATCTCTCTGGTGTTGAGCAACAGATGACCTATTGCTAAAGGTTTTTCCACACTCAATACATTCATAGGGTTTCTCTCCAGTATGAACCCTCTGATGCTGAACAAGGTAGGCAAACTGGCTGAAGGCCCTCCTGCACACCTCACACTCATACGGCTTTTCTCCAGTATGAACTCGCAGGTGTTGAACTAGATGCGCGTTCTGGCTGAACGCTTTCTGGCATTCCTTACATTCGTAGGGCTTCTCTCCAGTATGAATCCTGTGATGCTGAACGAGGTTTGACCTCTGGCTGAAGGCTTTCCCACACTCCGTGCATGCGTAGGGCTTCTCTCCAGTGTGAGTTCTTTGATGGAGAGTGAGGGAGGAGCTCTGGCTGAAGACTTTCTCACAATCGCTGCATTTCAGAAGCTTCTTCTCTGTGTAGATGCTCTTGGGCTTGACAGTCTTCAAGCCTCTCTTGTGTGTGCCTTTTTTAAATGCACTCTCCTCTTTGGAGGCTGTCTGTCGTGTATGAAGCAATGTGTTCTGATAGAAACCTCCCCAGGATCTGTTATCAATCAGAGCTTCAAGAGCAACGGTCTCTTCCTTGAAATACGCTTTTAGATTCTCAGATTGTCTCTCAAAATGATGCTCATGGTCCCATTCTCCCATCAGACTGGGACAATCAAGGCCGATACTTCTAAGTTCCTCAATTATCTTTCTGGATGACTGTTCTTCATAAAGTTCCTGCTTTGGGATTAATCCTTCAGTCACATACATAGACTCCCAATCTAAAAGTAATAAAAACGTGTCTTCTTTATTATATATCAAGAAAATATGATCATGAAAGAACATTTGTAAAGCGAAGTGTGTAAACTTAGTATCAAATAAAACCCCCAACGAACCCTTATTCTCCCAGTTCTGAAGTATATAACAAACTGAAAATTGGTCCTAAGGATCTATGAGGAGTGGCTAGAACTTGAAAAACAGCAGCACGGCAAGCCACAGGGTGAGAAGGAACGGCTATGACCAGACTTGGCTGTAATTATGGACAATAAAATAGTCTGCATTCCCATAATTGCTTCACCGAAGGACATTTATTGAAAAATAATTATCTGATTTGAGACGCTCTTGTTATGCTTTCGGTATCATGACCACTGCCTTCATGGATCTTATTTCCTTAGCAGAGATGAAAAGCAATTGGGGAACTTTAGTTGCATGTTAAATGTGTTGGAGGCCTCCAACATAAATGTATTAAGTGCTACAGAAAAAGGAAGGGTAGGCAGCCATGTATCTGTACAGAGTTCATCAAGGTCATAAAATGACATTGACAATTGTCTATTTACGTTTTACTTCATTATAACTTAATTTGTACAAAATAACAGATAAAATTTTCTCTTACCTTGTTTAAAATTTTTATTGCATTGTTAAACTTATTTTGCTGGGCAGTGATGGCACATGTGTTTGATCCTAGGACTCGAGGCAGAGGCAGGCAGATCTCTGAGTTCAAGGCCAGCCTGGTCTACAGAGCAAGTTATAGGACAACCAGGCCTACACAGAGAAACCCTGTCTCAAAAATAAAAAAAATTATTATTATTTTTTTTTTGTGTGTGTGTGCGCACACACAAACACATGCACATGCATGCCCATGCCACCTACCGTGTGGATGTCAAAGGACAACTTGCTAGAGTTAGTTCTCTCTGTCCACCATTTGGGTCCTAGGGATGGAACTCAGATTGTCAGGCTTGACAGTAAGTGTTGCTCCCCACGGAGACATCTCAGCAGCCCCAGTTATCCATTTCTTAAGCTAAGAAGTAACTAAATGGGTTTTTGTTCTATTTAAACTTCACATAGGGGATGGAGAGATGGCCCAAGTGAGTAAGAGCACTTACTGTTCTTCCAGAGGACCCAAAACTGGCTGCAAGCACCCAGGCTTACAACTGCCTGCAACTCCAGATGATCATGGTGTCTCTTCACAGGAAGAGGAAAGTAACTAAGGCACGCACGCACGTGTGCACACACACAAGCACACTTTAAAAATGAAATACTTTCTAGACTCCATATATGTGATAATGTCTCTTTATGTGAGTGATTCTTTAATAATAACACATTAAAATTTAATTCTGTATCGTTTGATACCACAGTTACCCATCAAAATGCCTTCTCAGAAAACAGACTGCAGACATAAAACACTGGCTGAGGCGGTGTGGGATGTGGAGTTGAGAGAGGGATTTACAATGACAGAATACTTGTCCTTCATGTTTCCTCAGTGTTTCCTGTCTGTCTGCAAATCCTTCCCGCACCACAAACCCAAGCTCTCGTTCCTTTGTTCACCAAATATTCTCCAGCTGCTTCTCTTTGCTGTTGTTAAAGACTGCCATCTTCCCACTTCCAGAGTCCCCTCTCTCACCTTTCTCCGGGTTTCCTTTTCGTCTGTGCCATCTATAGCTCTATCACATCTTTACTGCCACCTGGCACTTGTTATTAGTGCACACGTGCAGCACTCTAGGACCCCGAGGTGGGGGGCGGGGAGGAGGCTGCTGCAGGTAACCATGTTGAAGGGCAGCTGAGCAATGTTGGTGTTGATTAGTGGAATGAGAATGTGTGAACTGATAGAGGAGGCACTTGGGGAGAGACCACTGGTCAGGTCACACCACACAGCAGAAAAGTCCATGCTACTTCAAACGCATTGTTATAGCGGTGACAAAACAAAGAGATGAAGTGACTGTCCTAGAATTTCACCACACGTGAGAACCAGAATTTGAACCTGGTACCTCATTTACTCTCGGTATGGCATTCATCAAATCAGGAAAAGACTATTTAAATCTAGACGTGAATTATGAAATGAGAAGCAACAGAAGTCAGAAAACAGATGGAATAATTCATTAGGAAGGAGGGAGGAGAGAGCAAGGCTGGCCAGTGGGGAGAATATCCGGGAAAGCCCCACGTCTCTTTTAGGCCTAAAACATTTAGGAACATGCCACAAAAAAGAACCCAGGGATGCTTTCTTGAGTCAGGTTGAGCTGTCACCTTCAAAGGTCTCTGCCTTTCTAATCCCGCCCCCCACTCACCTGTGGACAAACTGTCTGTCAGTTCTGTCTTCACCATCCACGGCTCTTTTCCTTGTTCCAACAAGAATATCACACTTGGCTTGGAAAAGCAAAGTCCTAAGCATGTGGAAAGAAATGACTTGGTTATGCCGAGGGCAGACCATGGCGCACGTCTGGTATCAGCCACACCGCAGGGCAGGTCCCATGCCCAGGAGTACCGGCCACACCGCAGGGCAGGCCCCATGCCCAGGAGTACCGGCCACACCGCAGGGCAGGCCCCATGCCCAGGAGTTAGCAACCACAAAATGAATGCAATAAGCAGTTTTCTTTCCTTTTGTTTGCTTTTGCTTTTTTTCTTATGGTATTTTGTCTGTTCATTTTGATTTTTGTTTTTGTGACTTTTCTGTTGTCGCTGTTGGTAGGTTCTTGATTTGTTTGTTTGTTTTTCTTTCTTTTTTGAATTCTCAGCTACTTCTCCAGGACCATTTCTGCCTGTGTGCCACCATGCTTCCTGCCGTGATGTCAATGGACTAACCATTGTAAGCAATCACCAGTTAAATGCTTAACTTCATAATAGCTGACTTGGACAGAGTGTCTCTTCATAGCAACAGAACAGTGACTGAAACAGAGGGAAAGGTTCATTAGGCTTACATTTCTACATCTTAGTCCATCACTGAAGGAAGTCAGGGCAGAGACTCAAACAGAGCAGGATCCTGGAGGCTGGAGCTGATGCAGAGGCCATGGAGGGGTGCTGCTTACTGGCTTGCTCCACATGGCTTGTTTAGCCTGCTTTCTTATAGGACCCAGGGCCATCAGCCCAGGGATGGTGCCACCCACAATGGGATGCTCCTTCCCCCATTAATCACTAATTAAGAAAATGCCCTGCAGCCTGATCTTATGGAGACATTTTCTTAGTTGAAGTTCCCTCCTTTCAGATAACTTTAGATTGTGTCAAGTTGACATAAAACTATTGCACATACTTACCCAGAGACACCAGGATCCTGTAGTTCTCCAACATCACGTGCCTATACAAAAGCCTTTGAGAAGAATTCAGACAATCCCATTCCTCCCGGGAGAAGTCTACTGCCACATCTCTGAAGGTCACCATCTCCTGCAGTGAAAGAAATGAAAGGAAATGACCTCCTCCCTCACCACGTTTACCTCGCTTACCCAGCACTCGGATGGTGTGCTCTTTCTGAGATGACACTCCCAAAGACATCAGCCACGTTCCCTCTTGGGGCCCCTATATTTCTCAGATCATTCCGAACAGTGCTCCAACATAGTGGGGACCTAGCAGAGTCATTGTGTCATGGCTGAACATTAGAATGAAACCATCCTTTCTCACTATCTAACAACATGAGGATGTGATAGTTGGAGGTGCTTAGACCTTGAAGAAATCACAGCAGAGAACAGCGATCACTTTCTATGACTCACAGGTTGGTTTTCCGAGGGCGTTTCCCATCCGTTGCATGACTGTGGTCACAAGACTGACCTGGCACCACTGGAGCACCTTGAATTATTGGGTACTGCAAACAGTGCACAGTGGAGCAAGCAGCACACAACAAGGGTGTGGTGATTTTCCTCAGAGAACAGACAGATCAAAGGGACGTTGGTAGGAGAAACTTGTTTGACACACACACAAAAAATGACCTTTGTGTGGCAACCAATAATATGCTCTGAAGGGCAGTTGGTGGTTCAGTCTATCAGAGGCTGGGCTTCCTTGCTGCCAGAGAGCCTAGACTGTACCCTGGAGTGAGTCTCCTTTCTTTTTTTTTTTTTGTTTTTTGTTTTTCAAGACAGGGTTTCTCCTGTCCGTGAGTCTCCTTTCTTGATCCCCCTTGAGCAACACAGAACAACACACCCACCTCAATTCCCTACTCCTCTAGCTATGCTCACTATATTTACTTATAAGTTATGTGTGGGAGGGCTTTGCCTGCATGTATGTCTGCACATCACGTGGATGCAGTGTCCTCAGAGGCCACAAGAGGGTGTTGGATATCCTGGAACTACAGTTACGTACGGTTGTGAGTGGCAATGTGGGTGTTGTCAGTCTCTGCGAGAGCAGCCAGTGCTCCTAACCACCGAGCCATCTCTCCAGCCCCAGATCAGAGGTGCTGGGTTTGAACTCGGAACTTTGCATGTGTGAAGCAAGGTTCTTCAGTAAGCTACATCCTCAGCTCTGTACTTTATTTTATTTTATTATTATTATTATTATTTTTTAAATTTTCGAGACAGGGTTTCTCCGTAGCTTTTTGGTTCCTGTCCTGGAACTAGCTCTTGTAGACCAGGCTGGTCTCGAACTCACAGAGATCCGCCTGCTTCTGCCTCCCGAGTGCTGGGATTAAAGGCTTGCGCCACCACCGCCCTGCTTTATTTTATTTTTTGTGACATAGTTTAATGTATCCCAGGCTGGTTTCAAATTCTGTGTAGCTGAAGATGACCTGGAACTCCTGATCCTCTTGCCCCAACTCTCAAGTGCTGGGATATCAAGTGTACACTATCACACCTGGTTTTTGAGGTCCTGGGTTTAAGTTCAGGGATTAGTGCATGCTAGGCAGACACTGGGCTACAACTCAGCCCTCTGCTTGCTTCATTTATTTCCTGTCCCCTCCCCCGATGACTAAAATGTAAGCACCACGAGTTCAGTGTGTTTTGCTCACTGCTCCATTCCCAGTGATGGGATGTTGGGGCCTGCAGACCCCTGGCCCCTTGACTTGCTTTGCCTCCTCAGACCCTTTGCCTCCTGGAGTGAACTGAGCAAAACAACTTGTTTACCTATGCCTGCAGCTGCTCTGAGCACGAGACCCTGATGGTAGGGGAGTGGGTTCTGGTGAGGCCTGCAGCTGAAAGATCCCGAGAGCTGGGGTGTGGCTATCAATTAAGGATCCCTATATAAGCTTCCCTGGAGCACAATAAAGTTGGCATTCTTGTTTCAAGGATGACCCGTGTCCCTGTGTCTCTGTCTGTCTGTGTGCATGTGTTTTTAACTCTCTAGCCTGGTTCCCTGGTTCACATACCATAGAGTGTAGAACAGATGCTGCGTTTTACAATGGAACAGAACTGATACTCATGATACATTCAAATACTCAATGGTCCAGCCAGACACATGCCTGTAATCCCAGTGCTCAGGTGGCAGAGGCAGGCGGATCTCTGTGAGTTCGAGTTCAGCCTGGTCTACAGAATTAGTTCCAGGACAGACACCAAAGCTACACAGAGAAACCTTGAAGAACAAAACAACAAAAAACTAAACCAAACCAAATAATACTCCCTGGACCATTTGAATGAATAAGGAAGGGTTGAACATTTCAAGAAGGGGATAAAAGATGGCCCACAGTTACGTGCTACAACTAGGAGAATTGTGCTAGACTGGGCAAAGTAAATAGTTTTTGTGTAGAGAAATAGAAGTTTCATTCATAATTTTGCTTGTCTCCAGAGCAGGGCAAAGTTCTTAAAACTCTGGAGCTAAGCTGTGATTCATTTGCACTCCAGTTTTCTTTATGTGACTGCTGCTGATGAACCGAATAAACGTTCCATGTATGTGTTCTCAAACAAAAGTTAATAGCTCACCAAAACAAAAGCTGTGTGACCTGTTGTCAAAGCAATAGACAAGGATGTGACTTGTTTCACATTTGGTATGGTGTGTGTGTGTGTAACATAGAATCAAACTAAGGGCTTTGTGAATTCTAAGCAGTATTCTACCATCACCTTCTTCATATTTGATTCAATTTTGTCTCCATAAAAACAAAATAAATTGGGTATGGTGGCGCATACTTTTAATCCCAGCACTCAGGTGGTAGAAGTACTATGATTTTGAGGCCAGTTTAGTCTACATATCCAGTTTCAAGCCAACAAGGACAACAATAAAGACCTTGTCTCAAAAACAAAACAAAACACCCAAGAAAACAACAAAACCCAAGAAAACAACAACAACAACAAAAGCAACAACAGACCTGTCTCAAACCAGGCAGAGCACAGGCCTGAAATCCTAACACCCTAGGGGCAGAAACAAGACAGAAAGTTTATGGTCAGCCTGGGTACACAGAAATACCTTATGTCAACACACCAAGGGCTAGACATGCAGCTCAAGGGTTACAGGACCCGCCCAGCACAGGAAAGGCACTGGCTGAAACGCTCAGCATTTAGGAGGCTGACGCAGGAAAACTCCGAGTTCTAGGCTGGCCTGGGGCACATAAAAAGCCCATGTTTTTGTTGTTTAGGAAGAGAGGAAAAGAAATGGTCTCAGAAAGGAAAGGATTCTAGAGGCCCCAACATGCAGTAACAGTCCTTCTCTTATTTAAATACACGAGGTTGTAAGGGAACTGCTCCCGTTCTGCTTCTGCCAACAGTTGGGTTGGTGAGGTACATATGCTCCCCAAGAAGTTTCCCTTAGTCTATATAAAACCATGTAATAAGAAAGAAAGGGATGCAGGGGTGGCTCAGTAGTGAGGAGCCCTTGTTGCTCTTTCAGAGGACCCAGGTTTGGTTCCCTGCACCTCCATGGAGCTCAGAGCTGTGAGTAAGTCCTGTTCTAGGGGACCCAACACCTTCTTCCAACACCTGGAGATACCACAAGCACACGGCACACATACATACATGCAGACAAAACACGTATGTACGTAAAATAAATTCATATCTAATAATGCACATATGACATCCATAGTTCTTCAAATCTTTTTAAGGATTTAATTGTGTGTCTATGTCTGTGTGTGTATACGAGTGCAGGTGCCTATGGAGGCCAGGAGAGGCTGTCACAAGCCTCTTAGAGCTGGAGTACTGGCAGTTGTGAGCTGCCTGACATGGATACTGGAGACCAGATTTAGGTCCTGAGCAAGAGCAGTATATGCTCTTAACTGCTGAGCCATCCTCCAGCCCTCACCCTCTTTTTCCCAGGTTGTTCATCTATATAATCAACACAAATTATCGCAAGGTCAACTGCAGGCACAGCTCAGTGGCAAGAGTGCTGGCCTCCCTGTGCAAGGGCCTGGGTTTGAGCCATGGCACTGCAATCCCAAACTGGAAATTAATTTGACCCCTGACAAATGATGACAGTGTACTTGGCCTCTGTGCTTCCATGGTCTACACATGTAGAGTCAACCAACTGTGATCAAAATATCAGGAGAAGCTGGGCACGGCGTGTAACATCTGCAACCACTGCACTCGGGAGGCTGAGGTAGGGGAATTTCAAGTTTAAGTTTAAGTTTAAGTTCAAGTTTAAGGAGTCAATCACGGTCAGAGAGAGGGGGGTGAAACACAAAAGGAGCAGGAAGAACGGATGTAGAGAGCCAAGCCAGGAGAATATAGCAGCTATCCACGTGAGAGACGTCAGTTCAGAACAGAACAGAAGTAGTGGTGGCAGCGGAAAGCTGGCTGATTCTAGCTATGCTTCAAAGGCTGAACAAACCGCTCCGCGATGGAAGAGCAAGAGCTCCTGAGTTCACGTCCCCATTTTATCCTCAACCCATTCGGTTTATCATCGACAGCGGGAGAGTGGTCCTACTAAACTGAGAATCAGACCGTGACACGCTCCCACTCGTGGATTTTACTCAGTTTAAAAGATGCTTGCATTTGAGGTGGTAATTATGCAACCTCTTGAACACGTCCAGTAGGCAGTCAGAGATGAAAGTTGGGTTCAGGGATGCGATCTACTCAGGTGTGGTGGCGCACACCTTCAGTCACAGTCCTCAGAAGGCAGAGGCCGGTGGACCTCTGCGAATTCAAAGCCTGCCTGGTCTATGCAGAGCAACCCCTTATGAAAATAAAAAGGTTTAGATGTACAGTCTGGCAGCTGTGGGCATACACATACACATACTCATATTCAAGCCATGAGACAAGATGACATTACCAAATCAGTGAGTGTGGATGAAGGAGGAAGAGGCCCGAGACTACATCCTGCGGTACCCAGTGTCAACAGGAACTTAAAATTTGTTGATCCGTGAATGCTTGGAAGTAAATAGAATTAATCTGGCCTTTATCTTGTATGTGGGGGAATGGCATGCTAGGAGGAGGGAAACTATGTGTAGGAGCACACATTAAAAATGTATATAGCGCTACACACCTTTGATCCCAGCACTCCGGGAGGTAGGGGCAGGCGGATCTCTATCGTGATTTCTTTTGCTGTTTACTATATAATAAAACTCCAGGACTTGAGACAAACCTGACAACTGCAACACACACCGTCACTGTCCTCCCCACACCCAGGCCAAAAAAGGCCCACTTCACTGGAGGCCTTTCTCCCCACTGGGAGACTCTCTGTGAAACCCTGCCTTTTGAATCAATGTCTGACTTCACTGAACATCAGACCACAACATTGTCAAAATTACCACAACAGATCTCCATGAGTTCGAGGCCAGCCTGGTCTACAGAGTGCATTCCAGGACAGCTAAGGCTACAGAGAGAAACCCGTCTCAACCCCTCCCCACAGTGTATATAGGGGTGGGGAGGTGGGCCATAGTTAACAACATTGGTAAGCTCTTTCAGAGGATCCAAACTCAGTTTCCAGCATCCAGGTCAGCGCCTCCCAGTGCCTGTACCGCCAGCATCAGAGGATCAGTCTCCCTCTTCTGGGCTCTGCGGGCAGTGCCACACACCTGGCACACACTCACGGATAAACACACATACACTTAAAAAAAAAAAAAACTATTGAAAAGGTCAAAAAATTTAAATTAAAATTTTTAAGGACGCGTGAGCTGACTGAAAGAATTTCCCACAGAGTGAAAGAAATTAGATGCGGTCAAACGAGCTAGCCAGGGATCGGAGTATTGGGAATCCCACCCAAGGGCTGTGGATGCCACCTGCTGGCTCCCGAAATGGGTTCAGGAAGAAAAGTTGATGCCTGTTCACTTTGAAAGCAGGAAGGCAATGAAAGGGAGAACACACCACCTCACCTAACACACGATCTTGAGAAGCCAAGAGCCATTCTTTTTTCCCTCTCGACTCTTAAGAACTGGCAAGCCCCGATAACTGAGATAGGGAAAGAACGTGAATAATCAGCTGTTCCTCTCAGCATCCTGAATTACCTACCATTTTAGGAGTTTGTTCCCTCCTGTTGCAACCTTCCCTCCAATAACAGCACTGATGGAGACCTAGCAATTCATTTGCATACAATATAATTCATGCCTAAGTCGTTTCCAATTTGTTACTTGGGCAGCAAATATGAAGAGATTACAAACAAAGAGAAATACGATTGATTAAAGATACAGCTCGAATAAATAAGCCATTAAGATTAAATGAAGTTGCTGAACTTGACCATTCTTCTGCATAATAGAAGAGTGATTCAGAAACTTGGGAGCATACCGTCACCACTTGATTGGCTTGACAAAAAAAAAGACACTGGCTGACAGTCTCAAGACCCTCACATACCCAAAGTCTCAAAGACGACATTGCCAGCCACTGCCACACATATGCCACGTTAAAGGCCCTGTGTGTAAACAGTATCAAATGTTCACCCTCTCCTACACTCCCAATTCTCAAACATTCGGGTACCACAGGCTGGCATCACGAACAAGGTCTCACGCTCTAGTCACAAAGAAGCTGCACGTCCGAGCACAAGGGGATAAAGAGAAAAGTACCCGATGTGGATTCACTCGCACCCCGTCACAGAGTGGACTCGCACACAGGTGACAGTGTCGCCGTACCATAGCCAAAACTGTCCTGTTCCGAGGTCCACCCAGAGTGCCTGATGACCGGTGTCCGAGAGACGCGCGCTGGCCACTCCCCAGCCCACTCCTCTCCGCCAGAACCAACTGCGGGAAGATTCCCTTCCGTTTCTGCCTGGAAGGTTCTGGAATCTCCTCCAGACCCTCTGACCTTAGGTTGAGGGAATCTAGCCTCAGGGGGAAAGGGACGGGAAAGAAGAGCCTCGGTTGCCTGGGATCCTGGAGGACACAAAGGGGCGACGGCCCAGCTCCCGCTGGGGCCTTTGGGAAATGTAGTTCGGACCGAAAGTGCAGCAGCACCAAGGTGTTTCACTGCACTGACAGGTTCAGTCCCAATGTCTCTATCACTGGCTTTCCGCGGCCAGACCACATGCAGACATCCATGCAAGCAGAGCACCCATGCACATAAAATAAACTGAATTATGTGTTTATTTATTTTTACTTTGCATGCGTTTTTGCCTACATTTATGTATGTTCGCCAGGAGCATGCCTGGTGCCAGGAGAGGCCAGAAGAGGGCATCGGTTTCCAGAGTGCTCTTAATTGCTGAGCCATTTCTCTAGTCCTTCCATAGATCTTTTTGGGGGATGGAGCCCAGATCCTCTAGCACGCCAGGCAAGCACTTTGCCACTCAGCCATGCCCTCAGTATCTGTTTGAACTGACTCTACACTTCATTTGAACACATAGCATTTTTCTTCAGGAAAAAAAATTCTTTCACAACGCACAACTGGGATTTTGAGAATAAATGGCAGACCTTCTGTGTCTTTGTGTGTGTTTCTCCGAGTGTAACTATGGAAAACATGATGTGCTAGGTTAGGCATACATTTCTGTGATCACTGTGTGACTGTGTTCTCAGTATAATATCCGTGATGTTTAGATGTGCTGTGATGGGAACGGGACGAGTGTGGCAGATTTTGAAGGTTTAAAACGATGGATATATTTTTATGTATAAGATTCTCCTCTGTAGTGTCTGGTTAGAAGCCAGAAAACAAAAGTTAAAAAAAAATAATAAGGAGTAGGGCTGGGCATTGTGGTATACTTTAATATTAGTACCTAGAAGCAGAAGCGGGCTAATTTCTGTGAGCTTGAAGCCAGTCTGGTCCACAAAGCAAGCAACGGCAAATTCAAGAAGCTTCTATTAGACAAGGAAAAAAGTAGACTATTGCTTAGAGTTCTACACTCTATGTGAAGTAAAATAATGTCGCTTAAATATGAAGATAAAGGAAATATGTACACTGTAATACCTGAAGCAAGCCCTGGAGAGATGACTTTGTAGTTAAGAGTACTTGCTGCTCTGGAAGAGGACCTGTCTTCAGCTCCCAGCAATCACTTGGAGTGACTTATCACTTATCACTCCAGTGCCAGGGAATCCCACGCCCTCTTCTGGTCTCTCCATGAACTGCATGCACCTGGTGTAGAGGTACCTGGAGGCAAAATACACAGAAAATAGAAATAAATAAACCTGGCCTGACAGTGGTGGCACAGGCCTTTAATCCCTGCACTCAGGAAGTGGAGGCAGGAGGATCTCTGTGAGTTTGAGGCTGTCCTGGTCAGCGAATTCCAGGAGAGCTAGGGTTACAAAGGGAGACCCTGTCTCAAAAACCCAGAGGGGGTTAGGGTTTAAAAAAAGACACCTTGTGCATCAAAGGGTATTATCAATAAATGAAATATGGTGGAATATTATTTTAACTTGGCCGAGATGTGTTACATTTGTTTCTGCTTTGGAATATTATGTAAACTATGTGAAGGTGTTTTACTTTTATTTCTGCTGCATTTAACAATGTAAGGTTGTGTTACATTTGTTTATACTTCATTTTTTTAAGATTTATTTATTTATTATGTATACAACATTCTGCCTCCGTGTAGGCCCACACGCCAGAGGAAGGTGCCAGATCTCATTACAGATGGTTGTGGGCCACCATGTGGTTGCTGGGAATTGAACTCAGGACCTCTGGAAAAGCAGCCAGTGCTCTTAACCGCTGAGCCATCTCTCCAGCCCTATACTTCATTTGTTAAATTATGAAAACATGTGTTGCTGTTTCTACCTTGCTTTCCTAAGGCACTTGATTATTGGTCTAATAAGAAGCTGAAAGGCCAAGCCCTAAAAGGGATAGGTGGGGCTGGTGGGCAGAAAGAATAAGTAGGAGGAGAAATGTAGGCTTGAGAAGATAGGACAGAATGAGGGAGAAAGAGAGGGACTGGCCCGGGGCAGAAGTCAGGCAGCCATCAGCCAGACCTGGAGACAGTAGGAAAGTAAGCTATACAGAAAGAATAAAAGGTAAAAAGCCACGAGGCAAAAGGTAGACAAAGAGAAACTAGTCAAGTTAAAAGAGCTAGCCAGAAACGAGCCTAAGGTAGGCCATGCGTTTATAATGAATAATAAGTCTCTGTGTCATGATTGGGAGCAGGTTGGTCGCCTAAAGGTAAAAGCCTGCTACAATGAAAAGACAACTTACTCCTACAGCGTAGGTGAGTGTTTGAGAAGCATGTATCTTATAAGGGTTTTTTTTTTTTTAAGGTGCTTGTTTTGTGGTACTGGAGATGGATCCCAGGGTCTTCTGTACATAAGGGAAAGTACCAACCGAACGACACCCCAACTCCTGTTAAGGGTTTAAATAAATATATAAAATAATATGAAAAATTCCAGCCAATAAGACAATTACAACCAACTTAAAGAGAACGGTGAATTTGAATAGACGTTTCTCCAAAGAAGATGTGCACTGCCCAGCAAGCAACTGGAAAGTTGCCTGATCTGATTTGCAATTATATTACCAGAGAATAAAAGGTGTGGAGAGCAAGGAGAAAGATGGGGAGAGGAGGGTCAAGTTGCAAATGCAGTCTTGAAAGGCACAGAACCTCAGGCCCTGCTCACAAACCCCACCCCAGCTCCTAAGTCTCCTTTCTCCCCTTCCCATTTAACTCTGAAAATCTTTCCCGCGACGCTTCTCCCCAAGGGGTCCGCCTCTTTCTTGCTCCGCAGGGAGCCCAGCATTGACCTTGGCAAGTCAAAAGGCCCCGTAGTGAAGTGTTAAAACGGAAGAGCCACAAGTTTCTCTTGCTAGAGCTAAGGAGAATGACTTCCTTTCTAGCAAGCAAGAACTTTCTTCAAACCCCTGAGGGAATGGGGGCTTTTGTCTAAATGCCAGACCTTGAGAGAAAGGCTTTCTAGGACGACCAGACTCGTAGGAACTAAATAAACTCAACCACGCTTCCTGCTTAACCAGGGACTGCTTTTCATTTGGGTGAGCAACAAGTCTCGGGCCGCGAAGGCCTCCGGGAAATGTAGTCCGGAGCAAGAAAGCGGCGGACCCATTCTGATTCTTCTCAGTTGCAAGCCGCAGACCCGGGCTGTTAAAACCAGGCCGGAGGGAAGCCGCTGCCCCAAAGACGCTGGGCCGTCTAGGCCGGTGCCGGCCTGAGCCGATCCCCTTGCTGGAGCACTCTCCTGGGCACTCTCCCGGTTCGCTCACCGGAGGCCAGACCCGCCCGGCGAGCCGCGGGGCCCTCTGGGAAGTGCTACCCAGCTTCTAACGGACCCAGGTTTGTGGCGCTTCTCCCCCCGCCAGCCTTCGCCTAGCCGGCTCGTAGTCCCCCCCCGGGCTGTGAGCATTGGGCGACGGTGGGATGTGGGATCGCAGCCGGTGACCGGGCTCGGCGGTGATTCCCGGAAGCCGCGAGCCCGGAGGCCGGCAGTCTTTGTGCTGGGTGGGAGTGGGGCCCTGTGGAGCCGGGTGAGGATGGAGGAGGCGATGCCGGCCGTTTGCAGCGGCCATGGCCTGGGTGTGATGTGGCTGCAATTTGCTCGTTATCCTTTATGTGCCTTTACGAACATGGGTGCCCATGTGCTTGACTGAGACAACGAATGAAAGAGAAACTCTGTGGGTGGAAGTTAGCTAGGATTGTGTGTGTGGATGTGTGGAGACCATGTTTGCTCCATTTAGTCGTTTATAGTAATGGAAAATGTGTTTCTGTACGAAATATTAGTAGCCCCAACGCCTGAGTAGTTGACGATTTATTTTCATGTATTGACAAGCTTTTTGTGTTATTCGCCTTGCTGCCCCCACTCCATCCCCCAAATATCACGATACAGAAAAGCCCTTCCCCAAATATCAAGATGCAGAAAAGCCCAAAGAACAAAAAAATTATTCAGTTCTACTAGGCACATAGGTCCTGTTAAATTTAGGTTTTTACACTCCGTGAATATAAACACTTGTATTATGTGCTCATATAACAAGCATGGTGGCTTAAAAGAGCAAGCGCATATATACAGTTCCGTAGCCCACGTTTCATTTAATAATATGTTGTTAACCTAGCACCATCAACAATTTCAAATGGCTACTGTTTCCATTTTCCTTGGTATACATATATACAGCTGTCTCCCGAATAATTTGTGTTATAAACCAAGTTCATGAAGAACTGTTTGGCAATGCTCCAATGTATCTTCTTCCTCCCTCCCATGCTTGGGTAGGCTTTTCGAAGTAGAATTGGTACGGTAATAATCCTCATTAAAGTCTCCCTCAATCTAAACTTTTCTTCCCAATGCAAGGTTCTAACATCCTACAATATTACTAAAATATTAGATTCATCCCTATCATTTCAGTAATATTGGAATAGAGATACACTCCAGATAGCAATACATGCTATAAGTGATGGTAATCTTTATTAACTTTGTAGTTATAAAATATAATTTTAATCCCAGCACTCAGGATGCAGAGGCAGGCGGATCTCTGTGAGTTTGAGGCCAGCCTGGTCTACAAGAGCTAGTTCCAGGACAGGCACCAAAGCTACACAGAAAAAACCCTGTCTCGAAAAACAAACAAAAACTTAAAATTGAGTTTGCAGTACTTATTACCAAAATCAAGCATTTTGTGATTTGTTTTTCTAAAGTAATGTTTTACTTTCTGCTTTGGTTTCCAGAGTTCTTCCTCTGCTGAAAATCCTTTTAGAAACTGAAAATTGATTGAATGTTGGACACCTGTCAGTCACAGTTTTTGGTGCTTGGGATAGAGCAGTGAAGAGAAGAACCAGCCCCTCAGCTACCATGACACTCACATCACTGTGGACCAGATAATAGACAAAGTAAGTGAATCAAAATATCAGATGCTGAAAAACACCAAGAAAAGAGTCAAAATAGGAGGATTTAGTTTTAGATGGTGAGGCCAGGGAGGGGATGTTGAAAGGAATGATGAGGAGATGATGGGAGGAAAGGAGGTGGGGACCCGCACAGCCGAGGAAGGATCTCTGCATACAGGAGATGATGGGAGGAAAGGAGGTGGGGACCCGCACAGCCGAGGAAGGATCTCTGCATACACGGCAATTGCAGCTTAAAAGTTTCAAGGTTTTCATGCCTTCTTGGATAAAATGCAGGTGCTGGCTAAAACAACAAATAAGGAAGAAGCCTAGTTCCAGATGTGAGAAGAAGCTCAGTGGAGGGAGGCGCGCAGAGGAAATTGGGCTTTGCAGCCCATCGTCATGATTTTGGCTTTTACACAGAGTATTTTGGGAATAAATTTATCTGCTTAGTGGCAGCTTTGGCTGCCCTGGGGGCTGAACAGCTGGAAAAGGAATGCAGAAAGGGCGGGGACAGGGAGAGGGAAGGAGCAGAGAGACCAGTTAGGAAACCTAAAATGGTCCCATTGAGAATGAGTGTTGCCTCTCACTCCAGTGCTCAAGCAGAATTGATGCAGAATGTAAATGTAACAAGGTAGCTCAGTGTTGATTAGGTTAAGAATTTGATTTTTTTAAGACTAGGCTGGCCTTGAACTCATAAAGACCCACTTGTCTTTGACTCCCAAGCACTGTGATTAAAGGTGTATATCACTATACCGAGCAAGCGTGTATCCCATTTTAACCTCACTTTTGCAAAACTTTTTCAGAGTCACAATAGCCATTCTATATTTGGCAAAGACTTTCTTAAACAATAAATATATTTTTAAAGTCAAAAGAAAAGAATTTGATTTTGTTGTTGTTGTTGTTTTGGTTTTTGGAGACAAGGTTTCTCTGTGTAGCCTTAACTGTCCTGGAGCTCAGTCTTTAGGCCAGCTGGCCTCCAACTCAGAGATCCACCTGTCTCTGAGTGCTGGGGTTAAAGGTGTGTGCTACCACTGCCTGGCTAAGAATCAGTTCTTGAGAATGGAGGCAAGTCTTACTCAAGGCGCTAATGAGATTCTAGTTTGGGATATAGTGTAAGTGTGATGTCACGTTGGCAGCGGCATATACAAGTGTGACGTTCAAGAGACCTAGAATGGGGATTATCAGCATATAAATAATTCTGAAAATCCGAGGGATAAATGAGATCACTTAGAGTGGATGGAAAAAGACAGAGGTGAAGAACTGATTTGGGCATTACTCTAATGATTGACATTTGAGGGATAGTGGAGAATTAGCAACAATGTCTGACAGAGACCAGCTGGAAAAGTCAGAGGAAATGAGGCGGATGTGTTAGAAACGAGTCTATCTTAATGAAAACTGTCAAGCACTACAGATAGGGTACTGAAGATAAAGAGTCATTGAATTTAGCAACATAAAATTCATTGGTGGCTCTGAAAAAAATTCAGTGGATTATGAAGCCAAGGAGAACTAGAGAAGAAAAACTGGAGAAATCAAATCCAGATAGTTCTTAAGAAATCTACCTCCCCACACCCCCAAAATCAAAATATGCAGGATGAAAGAACTATAAAAAAAACCGAGGGAGGAATGTGTACGTGCTTAACGAGACAGAGCTGATAGGATCAGATGGCCGAGTGCGCCTTAGCGTGGAGCATGCTCACACTAGTAGGAAGAGAGAAGGAAGAAGCAACTGGACAAGAGACAGGCCAGCAAGCAGATGGTTGATGAGAGCCTGCAAGCTTTTTCTCCACACTCCTTCAACTTTATAGTCAGCTGAAGAAGACCCAGCCTGACCCAGCTGAGAGACTGGAAAGAGGTGTTAGGGGTTTGACGAGAAAGCAGAGCAAACACAAACCCAGATCAGCACCTGAAGCCAGCAGGAGTGAAGTGGAAGAGAACCGGGAGGCCTTGTGTTAAAATGAGTTATTGTATTTTCTGAGTGTGGACTTTGAAAAAAGCTTTGTTTTTATTTTATGTGTGTGGGTGTTTTATCTGCATGTATGCCTGTGCATCATGTGTGTGCAGTGTCCTCTGGACATTGAGAGCTGTGTTTGTGCTGGGAATCCAACCTGCAAGAGCAAGTGCCCTCCCTCTGGGCCATGACACACACACCCTGCCCCCGCAGCCCCAACTGACAGTTCTGAACTGAGCAGATGAAAAGGCGGGACTAGGAAGGTACTGAAAGACAGTGAGAGATCGGTGGAGCCACAGAGGGGCTGAGATGGGGGGCAATGAGATTGGTGGAGCCACGGAGGGGACAATGAGAGATTGGTGGAGCCACTGAGGGGACAATGAGAGATTGGTGGAGCCACGGAGGGGACAATGAGAGATTGGTGGAGCCACGGAGGGGCAGAGATGGGCAACAAGAAGGAGGTTTTTCAGTTTTGGTTTTCAGACATCTGGTAAACAGAACAGAAAGAGCTGGACATGATGGAGGCAGGGAGATGACCCGTTTTAGGTTAACCTGGGCTACATGGCAAGATTCAACAAAAAAGTAATGATTGGACTGTCATTGTCACTATTATTTCTTCTGCCTTTACAAACTGAAATATTTTCCTAAAGAAAGAAAACTCCCTCATCAATTATTTCGAGACAGTTTGTATAAGAGAAAGGGAATAAATGGACTTTTTCCCCCCCATTATAGGATTTAGGGATATTGAATTGTTTCCAAAGTGTGTCCCTGGGACTTGCTCTGTAGACTGGGTTGGCCTGGAACTCACAGAGATTTATTTATGGTTGCCTACTTGCCTTTGTGCACACAAGTGTGTGCAGTGCCTTCAGGGCATAGTCCAATCCCTTGGAACTAGTTATTTACAGGTGCTTTAGCCATGTAGTGTGGGTGCTGGGAACTGAACCTGGGCCCTTTGCAAAGGCAGCCTGTGCTCTTAACCACTGAGCCATTTTCCAGCTAGCCTCTGGCATCTCTTCCTAAGCTTTTGTTTGTATTACCATTATATATTCATTGATTTCAACATACTAGTGTTTCAAGTTTTTGCAATTACTTTCTATCTTAAGTTCAAACTCCTTATCTTCAATAACCCTTCAAGGTGGCTTCTGAGTCCCCAACAGATTTTTATAATTTCTTCTATTTGTGTTATCACCAGCTATTTATTTTGAACATTTCCTGCTCTAGGCATGAAGTCAGTATTTTATGCATGGTGTCCCAATTTCTCTTAATGAGAAATAGGATTTAAGACTATAATTAGGGCTGGAAAGATGGCTCAGGGAGAAATAGCATTTAGAACCATAATTAGGGCTGGAGAGATGACTCAGCGGTTCAGAGCACATACTGTTCTTGCAGAGGGCCTGAGTTTGATTCCCAGCACCCACATCAGGCAGCTCACCATTGCTGTAGCTGTAGCCACAGGGATCTGACACTCTCTGACCTCCAGTGTGCATGCACAGCCTAAGTAATAATTAAAAAGAAAATAACTTTTAATCATGTTTTTAAAAGACCTTTGTTGTTATGGTTTAGACGAAACACTGTGGTTTCCCGAGGGGTGCAGTGGCAGAAATGCTGCAGGTCCCGAGTGGCAGCAGTGGGCAGTGGGCCTTGAGGGCAGCTGGTCCCAGGCAGGGAGCTGCATGGCGGGTGAGAGACAGAGACCTATTTGGCGTGCTATGAAGAGAAAGTGGCTATTTATTTAGTGGGTTATGGGGAGAAGGGAGAAGAGCAGAGAGAGAAGCGCAGAGAGAGAGAGAGAGAGAGAGAGAGAGAGAGAGAG